TCTCGGGTGAGTACTCCTCTTAGTGGCAGACAGCCATGGGCGCAGAGATGGCTTCCTGGAAGTCCACAGGCACCTACGTCGACGATGTTCCCCCACCTGGGGCGAACATCGTCAGTGGCATGTGGATTTTCAGGGTGAAGGGGCCGCCGGGTTCTCCGCCTGCCTTCAAGGCACGTTACGTTGCTCGAGGCTTCAGTCAGCGTGAGGGAGTCGACTTCTTCCAGCCCCCACCCCGAAGATGACCACTCTTCGGGTGTTGCTACACGTTGTAGCTCAGCGTGACTACGAGCTGCACTCCCTCAACTTCTCGACAGCTTTCTTGCAGGGTAGCCTTCACGAGGCCATCTGGCTGCGCTGTCCACCTGGATTCACTAGGTCGTTTCCTGAGGGTACCCAGTGGAGCCTACGGCGGTCAGTGTATGGCCTGCATCAGGCACCTCGCGAGTGGCACGACACACTGAGGACGACACTTGTGGCTCTTGGGTTTGCTCCTTAGACTGCTGACCCGTCGCTGTTTCTACGCACCGACACTACCCTGCCGCTGCTCTACATTCTCGTGTACATCGACGACTTGGTTTTTGCTACTGCTGAAACGGAGGCGCTAGCCCTAGTGAAGGCGGAGCTGCAGAAGAGACACACCTGCGCAGCTATCTTGGCTTGCAGATCACCCGGGACAGAGCTCGGTGCACCATCACCCTGACTCAGTCACACATGGTGCACCAGGTCCTTCAGCGCTTCGGCTTCCAGTACTCTTCGCCACAGCCCACTCCTCTGTATACCGGTCACCCACTCTCAGCTCCACCTTCGGACGAGTTCGTAGAGCCGAGTGGTCCGTACCCAGAGCTTGTGGGTTGCCTCATGTACCTGATGACGTGCACACGACCTGACCTCGTGTACCCTCTCAGCCTCCTGGCTCGCTACATGGCTCCTGGTATACACTGAAAGGTGCACTTTGATGCTGCAAAGAGGGTACTGCGTTACTTGTGCAGTACATCAGGCATGGGGCTCGTGCTTGGAGGACGAGGTTCAGTGGTACTCACAGGACACTCCAACGCTTCTTGGGCCAACGACCAGGCGACTCAGCATTTGTCACAGGGTTACACCTTCAGTCTTGGCTCTGGTTCTGTCTCGTGGAGGTCCACTCGTTCTTCTTCTGTGCTTGGTTCCACCTGTGAGGCCGAGATCTACGCTGGGGCCATGGCTGCACAGGAGCTACGCTGGCTTACCTACCTGCTGACCGACTTGGGGGAGGGGCATCGTTCTTCTCTAGTTCTGTACATCGACAATGCGGAGAGTCACTCTACAACGTAGTGAGCTAGAGTACGGGGGTTGGCACGAACTACTAGGAGTGATCGTAGCTTTGCCTAGTTTCTTAGTGCTTGCACAATCACGGGAGAAATCGGCAAGAGTTTCCACTAGCAAAGTCGAAGTTACAGTATGGTTGAACAAGTAATGACAGAAATGACTACATCAGGCACCTAGCAACTCTGCAGCTAGCCTGGTCGACCGCCAGTACAGAATGGTCGACCGTCTGCTAGCGTTGCGTAGAGGAGCCGCGCCAGCACTGCAGAATGGAGACCTGCCAACACAGCAGGTCGACGGCGTGCCAACGCTGCAGCAGAGCGACTTTCCAGCGTTGCCCCGTAGAAGACAGCAGTGTGCACGCTCGCAGGTGCGCGCAGACGATTGGCCCGACTTGCACCGTTGTGCATCCGTCCGCTATTGTCTGCGCCTGATGAGCCACATCGACTTCGGGATACCAGCCCGAAGTCACCACGACCTCGACGACGTTCGCGTGCCTCCACAGAACTTGTCGTACAGGTTGGTCGACCTGGTCGACCACCAAGTGCTCCGGTCGACCACCAGTGCTTCTAGTCGACCACGAGGTCCCTCTGGTCGACCACTGGGTCCCTCTGGTTGACCATCAGGTGTCTCTAGTCGGCCACAGCTCCCGTCGAGCTACCCCCTAGTCGACGGACCCCTTCCGTCGACCAGAACTGTCAGCTGTTGTCGCCGAGCTCCCCTCGTCATCCGCTGCTCACTTGTCAGGTGGACGGACTCCTCGGTCGACCTCCCGGTCGAACTGCCCCCTCCTGGTCGACGGCCCACCCGTCGCCCAGACCAGTCAGTTGCAGCTGTCGAGCTCCTTGGTCGACAGCAAAACCAGCGGTTCCTTGCAGCTCGATGAAGCCCGTCGAACTGCTCTCCCACTGTGAATGGTCGGCTGCTTCATCTGTACATCCGACCAAGTCGTCGACGTTGCCCAAGCGAGGGCGGGGCCAACACTTCACTCCCGTTAACAGACAACAAGGCAATGCTTGCCTTGTGTTGCGAGCAGAGAATGGAGCACAGAACGAAGCACATTGCTCTTCGCTACTTCCTTGCACGTGAGCTGCAGTAACGTCGTCAGCTCTGCCTTTCCTACGTGGCCTCGCGGGCTAGCACTACTGATGTGTTCACCAAGGCCCTTGGGTCTGGTGATCATCAGCGAATCTGCACTGCTCTTGGGCTTGTGCCCACTCTGCCTCACCTGCTGGTTGCTTGACTTGCTCTTGTTGTACACTGATATATATGTTTATTCCTGCTTGTTTACTCTTGCTAGGTTGTGATCAGTGTAATGCCTTGCTATTAGAACTCTGCATGTGAACTGGCCTTGTGGCCGCTTGCTTGTGCTCAGATTGTGTGGTGTCCTTGAGATCCACCCTGAGCTTTGCTTTGATTTGTTTTCTTGCTTGACTGGTCTTGTGACCGTTTGTTGTGTTTGCTATCCCCCACTTTGCCTATGGGGGTGTGTCAAATTACATTTGTATGTGTAGGCTGTAGTGGGGTAGCCTCTACTTTAGGTCAAACCTAGTACTTGTACTCATCCTTGCTTGCTAGTCAATCATTCTTGCACAATTGATTCTGATATTTTGCTTACTACAAGGAGACATTCTAATCACAGACTAGTCATTAGTGACTGCACATTATTTTCTACAACGCATTACACTAAGTATGCACAAACCTATTGGACATTTTGTTGGCAAACCATCGTACTAATTCAGACTCTACTGACATTCCCCGAATCGTCGCTTTCGTCCACGTGTTGTAGCACAACGCCACATGTGCCATTCCAGCTTGCACGAACGCAGCTACAGTGTTTTTGCTTCCAGTAATCCTCGCCAACTCGTCATACAAAACCGATGCCGCAACAAACAGTGCGTCCATCTCTCCCGCTGTACAGTAATTTGTCCTCCACATAACCCTGCTCCACTCCTTTCTCGCTATAATCCCTGTAGATGACCACGAAACTTCATGTAAGCATGCGTAAGCGTACGTAGAGTTTCGCGGTAACAGCCCCCCAAGAGTGCTCGCCGTAAAGTCGAAGAATGCATGGAACAGAAAGATGGGGGTAGTGACGTTTTGCAGTATGTATTGTGGAAAAAAACACTTCCAGTGATCAGTATCTGGTAAGGCTGAAGATTTTAAATGGGGAAAGGGGAAATCAGGGGGGAGAATTGGAGGGAGAAGTAGGATTAGTGGGGAAAATCAACGGCACAGGAACCAGGGAGAGCATAAGGGGCAGGCATTAGGGAGTATAGGGGAAGAGTGGGAGGAAAGAAGTGGTAAATAGCAGGATTGTGGGCGCCATAACAGCCATCCCTCAAAACCCACTCAACGCCACACGATTATGCACGAATATCCAACATCTCATCTCACCATCCATGCAATCAGTCCAGTTTGGCTTGTGAAAATCAACCAGCATCTGAGCTGAGGCACGCCATGGTAATTGTGTAACCGCCATGCACGAATATCCAACATCTCATCTCACCATCCATGCAATCAGTCCAGTTTGGCTTGTGAAAATCAACCAGCATCTGAGCTGAGGCACGCCACGTGTTCCCGCCCTCTCGGTCCTTGGAGTCTGAAAGGGAAAGGTGGAGGGGGGAGGGGAGGGGGAAGGGAGGGGTGGGAGGGGGAAGAGAACTAGGCTTACGAGGGAGATGGCTCTGTACCGAGGCACGCCACATGTTCCCGCCCTCTCGGTCCTTGGAGTCTGAAGGGAAAGGTGGAGTGGTGAATGGGGGGAGAGCACTAGGCGAACGGGGATCGATGCTGAAAACACACTGGCCAAAATACATGCGGAGAAAAAATATGTGATGCTCCAATGCTCTCGCAGACGGAGACTCTCCAAGGAAGCCTAACCAGTGAAGACTCACCAACAAAGAAGCCCGAGTCGGAGAGAGACACGACTGCTTGGCCGCCCGCTGAGCTGCTTGACTGCGGTGAGATGCGGGTGAGATGCAATGAAGTGAGTCCTCACCTCACCAGTGAAAACTTACCAACAAAGAATCCCGAGTCGGCGATGCATTTGGTTGGCGCCCAGGGGGGCTTTGAGATGGGGTGGGGCTGAGGAGCAGCCCAAGGCACTCACCAATGAAGAAGCCAGAGTCGGCGATGCATTTGGTTGGCGCCCAGGGGAAGGCGGCAGCGATGCGATCGCAGAGAGCCACGACTGCTTGGCCGCCCGCTGAGCTGCCCGACAGGAGAATCTGCGATGCCGATTTGATTCTCCGCTTGGATTTCAGATCTGATTTGGTTTTTGGGTGAGGGGTTATGCGAACGTAGGCGAGGCAGAGTAGTGGCACGATGTGGGGCAGCACTATCTTGTCATGGTCATGGTCATGGTCATGGTCATGGTCATGGTCATGGTCATGGTAATGACTTTTGAGAATTACAGTAAAAAGGATTTTTTATTTTATTTTTTTTTCTCTCATATTGGATGGCAATCATCCTCTCTTACAGCACCTCAAGCTCTCTTGCCCAAGCTCATGCATTTCCGTAACCCACCTTGAATCACAGCTTGAAGGATATCCCAACCATCCAGATAAATCGCCGTGTCGCTATTGATTTCCAGTGCCCTGGTGTTAACGAGTAACCCAGTTGAACCAAGGCTACGGCGCGCAGCAACGCACGGCGCTGGTTTAAGACCAGTAGAGGAGGAATCCATTCACCTGTTATCACAACGCACCCTCTATCACCGCTTGAACGATGTTCCACCCGTCCAGATTAATCGCCGTGTCATTGTTTATTTCCAGCCGCCCTGCCGTGCCCGAGTAGCCGCCACCGTCGCAGTAGATGAGACGAACGAGGTTCCAGTTGTAGAAAGGCGGGTTGATGCTGCTGTTGCTGCTCAGAATGCCGTTGAAACCCGGGGAGGGGATGGTCTGAAGGCGGGAGTGGGAGCGAGGAGTGGAGGAGAAGAACAAACGGAAAGGAGGGCGGGTTGATGCAGCTGTTGCTGCTAAGAATGCCGTCCAAATTGGGGAAGAGGGTCGGTGGGTGGAGGGAAGTTGGAGACGGGAACAGGAAGAGAGGAGAACTGGCGGGTTAATGCTGCGGTTGCTGCCAGCAGTGCTGAGAATGCCGTCGAAATTGGGGGAGAGGGTCTACTTTTGGAAAGGCAGGTTGGAGGGAGGAGGAGCAGCATATCGCGTTTTTGGCTTGGAGGGAGGAGGAGGAAAGAAGGTGCTGCTGCTTTGCGCCGTCTCGGGAGGGGTAGTTGGGGGTACAGAAGGGAGCTTTGGAGAGAACAAGGGGCTGTAAGAGAGAGAGAGCAGCATACCGCGTTGGTGGGGCCTTGAGGGAAGAATGTGGTGCTGCCTAATGCCGTCATGGGAGAGGTGGGGCTTTAACGGTGGAACGGAATCAAGAAAAAAGGGGGCTGTAAGGGAGAGAGCAGCATACCGCGTTGGTGTGATCATCGAAGTAAAACGTGCTGCTACCTGTGTGCCAGCGTACACTGGCTTGCTCCTGCCCACGCACTCGCTAGCAGTGCGACACCACCCCCGTGCGCGGCAGACTTTTGAGTCGACTCAAAAGAGGTGACTTTTGAGTCGACTCAAAACTCAAAAGTCACTCGCTAGCAGTGCGACACCACCCCAGTGCGCGGCAGGCTGGGCCAAATCGAGAAAGCTTTTTGGGAGATCATACCGCGTTGGTGGGATCGTCGGGGTAGAATGTACTGCTGCCGAGTGCCGTCTTGCTCCTGCCGACGCACTCGTTGGCATTGCGGCACCACCCCCCGTGCGGCAGGTAGATGTGCCACATGCTCTTGCCGGCCCCCGTGCCCGCCCGGAAATAGTACCCTGGGGGACTGGGGTGCGAAGGTCGGGGGGGGCGAGAGAGGGGGAGGTGAGGGGGAGGGAATGTGGGGGGAGAGCCAAACACGTTACGACGTTGGAAAAGCCGCATTGGCTTTTCCAGGTTTTCTGACTAATACGCTCCCAAGGGAAAGTTACCCTTCCTTTCGGGCTGTTTACTTGCCATGGACATAATCAATCAGAGGAGGTATTCGCCCAGCAGAACGAGCCGCGCTTATGTTCCGAACTCATCGAGTCGTCTTTTGAGTCGACTCAAAAGACAAATCGAGTCGATTTGCACTCTTCGGTTTTGAGTTGACCTGAAATGCAACCTCCCTTTGCTTCTTCCACCCTCCCCTCCGCAGCTTAGTACCTCCCGTCGAGGCATCGCGCGTCGAAGGAGTTATTCGCCAGCAGAACCAGCCGCGGCTTTCCCGGCGCCTCCGGCGGCGGCGCTGGCTGTTTCCCTGCGAGTAGCGACATCAGGTACTGCAGGAACACCGCGACGCCGCTGAAATTAATCTTCCATCCCGCCGGTTTATTGCTAGTAGGACCAATCCTTCCGCTAGTAGATGCCCGTTCAAAGGGTAGCCTAGCGTGCGTGCTGAACCCACGGGTGTACCCGGTAGTCGTTGTAGTGCGTGCTCGAATCCCGGTGAATGCACCCATTGTCGTTAGGCGTTGAGTACATAACTCTGAGTTGCTGCTGCCTACCGCTTCCTTTCTTAGCGAAGTTTGTCAGTATAAGCTACTAAGCCACTCGTTACCCAGGTCTATAAGGCAGAATGCCACTCTCGTAGCATCGTTAGAGAAGAAACATGTTTGAAATGCTCTGAGTCTCTGACTCAGCTTGTTTTGAATGTGAGCATTGGATAACGTGGGAGCGCTGGATGGAATTGGCTGCTCATCCTTTTCGGGGTAGCCCGGGAATCTTTTAAAGCAATGCGTTTCAGTGCGGTTCCTCACGATCTTACACGGTTCAGTGCGAGTACCTCCTCAAAACGTGAATTACCGTATTCAACCATCAGCAATGACACACGTGACGACTGCTGCAGTGTCAACACAGTCGAAATTCCAGCACATCAGATCTATTCAGGGCGACGTCAGGTTGTACATATCTCACGCGTTTACAGTTCTTGAATCGTTGTTCAGGACGGTCCAGCACGTTGAAAAGCGGTTCTCGAAGTTTACCACTCTGAACCGTGTTGAAACGAAGTTACCCACGTCGCCCTCAGAACACGTGATGCAGATATGAAGGACGTGGGGGACACTAAATATACGGTTCCAAACGGTGCCACGCGCTTCAGAATGGTGTCGTTCTTTCACCGCGCTTAACCTGGAGGCAACCATCCTCACCATGAAGAGGGCAAAAAGGACATTCTCCTCTGGATAATCATCCCACTCAGCGGCGCTTCGGGATGCAAAATTCGAAACGAAATTGCGAATTCATCCAGCGACTCGGTATTTGCTGACGCGGATCGCGTTTTGGACATGGATGCGAGACAAGGAACTTCTAAAGCCCGAAACGTGTGTGTGTGAGAGCTAAGCATTCCCGCCTTTTCATATGGAGCATGAATTGCTCAAGCTCAGACAGGTACAAAACAATACATTGATAATTGATGCTGATATGAAAGTTTCTTTGTTTTACACCCTGCAAATTGCTTTAATCCGTGGCCACAAGAAACAAAGATTCTCTCAACCTGAAAAGCCCGATCTGGTTCAAAACAAGAAAACAAAACCTCATGTAAACCCAACCACACTCCCATCCAATTGCCCTAAAGCAGAACAGTGGCAAACACCTTTTGGATGAGCGGCAAATCAACGTACTAGGATCCACAATCGATGTGCTTCCTCCTCCCCTCGCATCTAAACCTTTGAACAGTAGAGCGAGTGGGTTTCTAGCCCCATGGGGTCTAGAAGGCGCAAACAAGAGCAGCGGCGAGGACCAGCAGCGCAGTGAGGAGACGCGAGACACTGGCAACGGCACCTGGCATCCAGAGAGGGAAAAGGAGGGTGCGGGGAAGGATGGGAGAGTGAAGGGGTGAAGTGGTTGGGGGGAAGAGCAGCGCTGAGGACCAGCAGTGCGGTGAGGAGACGCGACACAGTGGCAGCGGCACCTGGCATCTGAGAGGGAAAAGGAGGGTGCGGGGATGGATAGGAGTGAAAGGGTGAAGTGGTTGGGGGCAAGAGCAGCGCAGTGAGGAGACGCGAGATAGTGGCAGCGGCACCTGGCATCCAAAGAGTGGGGAGCGAGGATGAGAGTGAAGGGGTGGAAAATCGGAAGGGGGATGAGAAATGGGAATGAGAGCGAGGATACATGGGGGTGAGAGGGAGGATACATGGGGGTGAGAGGGAGGAGAAATGGGAGTGAGAGGGAGGAGATATGAGAGTAAGGGGGAGGAGAAATGGGAGCGAGGGGGAGAAGAGTGAGGGGAAGGAGGAATGGGAGTGAGGGGGAGGAGGAACGGGAGTGAGGGGGAGGAGGAACGGGAGTGAGGGGGAGGAGGAACGGGAGTGAGGGGGAGGAGGAACGGGAGTGAGGGGGAGGAGGAACGGGAGTGAGAGGGAGGATGCACGAGAGTGAGAGGGATGAGAAATGGGAGTGAGAGGGAGGAGAAATGGGAGTGAGAGGGAGGATAAATGGGAGCGAGAAGGGGATGGGGGAACGGGAGAGACGGGGGACGAGTAATGAGAGTGGAAGGAGAGGGTGGGGGGGGGGAATTGGGATTGAGGGGGAGTGAGGGGGGTGGAGGAATGGAGAAAGGAGAGGAACGAATACTGGAAAGCTGGCCATACAGATGCATGCCTGCATGCATGATGCAGTGAGGCATCATGCGGGGAAAGGCATGACCCATATACAAATTCGTATGGGAAGAAACACACGCAAGAAAGGAGTTAAAGTTCAAGGCCTTTGCTGTGAGCCAGTTGCTCGCTAATTTGAATCCAAGCTCTTGTTTGCAAAAGACAAAAACGCGTACCAGGCAGGGAGGCCATGTCGCTCGGGAACACAACCGCGTTGACGTAAAAGAAATCGACCAACTTATCGTCAATCTTCGCGACAGCAGACGGGGTGCCAGCAGACGCGTCGGATGGGAGGAGGTTAGAGCCGGAAATGAAACCAGAGTTGGTACTATTGCACTTGAAGTTCAAATTGTTGCCGTTGAACACGGTCTTGAAGGTCGTGCCAGCTGCGTTGCACTGCCATGCGAACACGTTTAGGGTGGGGAGGGAGAGGGAGAGGCAAGGTCGCGCGCGAAAGCAATGAGCCACGTAGCACGCAAGGTATAGCGCACGGAATGCTGGTAATGGTAGCAGCCGAGTGCTATTAAAGACGGAAAGTCTTTAAAAGTCTTCGGTGGCAATAGGTGGAACTCCAAACGACCACACAAGCCAATCAGGGTCAAGCGCGCAACCCCACCCCGCATGATGCGGATCGAATGTTTCGCACGCGGCGGCCTACCTTGCCATTCAGGTCGGCGATCGTAACCGCAGCATCCGTCGCATGAAATGACATCAGGTTGAACAGCGAGCTCCTCACGGCCTTGCTGACCGTCCCGCTGGTTACGAACGATTTGCAGTCCGCAGCCAGAGCGGAGAGGCCAGAGATCGGAGAGGTCGGAGAGACGATTTGACTCTTATCCTTGGGCGTCTTGAGCTTATCGCCGTTCACGACTGCGTCGAGCGCATCGTACAGCCCGCCGCTGCTGCGCTTCTTCTTGTACCCCTCGAACGCGTCGCTCCACGCCTGGTTCGACGGGAGGAACATGGTCTTCACGGACAAGAATGGGCACGTCGTGTAGACGAGGTAGTTAAGAAGGTCGATAGACTTGGACACGTCAGCGGACTTAATGTTGGACGTAATTATCAGCTGAGATGACGCCGGCGGGAAAGACGGCGCGTCGGACGATGGCGGCGCCGTCGATGGTGCGCCGACCGCGGGTAAGGGCGCGGGTGCTGCTGCGCCTCCCGCGCTGGGGGCGGCCGCTGGTGCTGCTGTGGGCACGGCTTGCAGAACCCGACGGCTCGCGGCCGCCATTTCAGTCGAATCAGCGGGGATCGACGCGGCGGAGGCGGATTCGCCCCCCGCGAGCGCCGGATGGGCGGCGATTGCGAGGAGCAGAAGCGCGACGGAAGCCACGAGGGAAATGTGGAGAGTGACGAGGCGAGCCATTGGTAGCAATACCGCGGGAAAGAATGTCACACCACGCGTGGATCGAAGAAGTGACACGAGACGTGTGGGATCCCGCTGGGGTACGAAGGAAAGGAGGTTACGTTCGAGAAATCAACTGACGTTTGATGCTCTTACGACTGTCCTTAAGTAATAAAGTAGTGGTCGGTACGTTGAGGCTCCTTCACCCGGGGTGAAGGCCATGGCGAGTTCAGTATAGCGAGGTGGTAAGGGGGGGCTATGCGCAATGCGCATCCTCTCCCGTCCTCGTGTTCCCCTGCGCTCGTCCGCGGTGAGAGCTGAGCGGCTCTGGTACGCATGCCTCCCTCTCGCGCATCTTCCTTTCCGTCCGCGGAAGCTGTGCGGGATCTGGTTCGCCTCTGGAAAGTTGCCTCCCGCGCATCTCCCTTTCCGCCCGACGGCGCCTTGTTCGTGGCGACCCCGTCACAAACGGTGTTTTGGGATAGGAGCTCACGATTACAGGGTCTTATCCCGTTTGGGATGCCTTGGCGGCACAGAGTCACCGACCCACGTCAGAGCGAGTCGCGTCACCTTCGGTGCGTACTACCACTAGCCTCGCTCCATGTCGGAAAACTAAGTGAAGGAAGCCCCGGGAATGGGAGTGCTTTTCGCTCTGCGCTCCAGACTAGGATCGTCTCTGCGCAACACGGATAGCTTGGCGCGACACAGCAGGGCGGAGTGCAATTCAGGGCAGCGACGCGTGGGTGAGTTGTGCGACGCTCGACTTGATACAGCTGTGGTGGAAAAGACGGCTAGAAGACTCCAGGGTACGCGATAACAAGATGACTCAGTCATGCCGGTTAGCTCGGTAACTCAGACGATCGAGATAATATATACAAGTCGCAAATCTGGTTGTGAGCCTAAAAATTCCCCCTTCAGTAAGAGCAGGTCAAGTTCTTAAAACTTGATGCGGAGGAGTTTACAAGCTTGAAATAACTGCACTTGCAATCAACATCATGATTCAGATTTCACAAAACAAAGCACCATATGCATGGTTCAATCGAGACAGCAAAGAACAAATGGAGACAAAGATTTGAATATTCCCATGCAGCATGCATCAACCCATTGCAGCAGATCCAACCATGCACTTCCTTTGAATTGGCCTAAAACACATGCAAAACAGTGCTGAAGACCTTCAAGATGGGCGGAACAATCAACGGCTAGGAATCAATTATTTCCTCCTCCTGTCCCATGTAGACTCAAGGGCAGTAGAGCGAGGGGGTTTCTAGCCCCATGGGGTCTAGAGGGCGCAAACAAGAGCAACGGCGAGGACCAGCAGTGCAGTGAAGAGACGCGAGACAGTGGCAACGGCACCTGGCATCCGAGAGGGAGGGGGGTTGAGGACCGGGAGTGAGGGGGTGTATAAAGGGGAGAAATGAGGGGAACAAGGAGTAAGGAGTTGCAGCAGCACGGTGCATCCCTAGTAAGTGCGCTTGCCCCCTCCCCTGACGTGGACAGCTGTAACGTGTAGTGTAGGAAGCTCATGTCATGGGGGAAAGTGCCTGAACCGTTCTGGAGCAGCACGATGCACCTTTAGTAAGTGCGCTTGCCCTCCCCTGACGTGGGCAGCAGTAAAGAAATGGGGGTGAGGGGTTTGAGAAATTATGGTGAGGGAAGGAGAAAGGGGAGGAGAAATGGGAGTGAGGGGGGGGAGAAATGGGAGTGAGGGGGGGGAGGGGGAGAAATGGGAGTGAGGGGGAGGAGAAATGGGAGTGAGGGGGAGGAGAAATGAGAGTGAGGGGGAGGATAAATGGGAGTGAGGGGGAGGAGAAATGGGAGTGAGGGGTAGGAGACATGGGAGTGAGGGGGAGGAGAAATGGGAGTGAGGGGTAGGAGACATGGGAGTGAGGGGGAGGAGAAATGGGATCGAGGGGGAGAAGAGATGGGATTGACGGGGGAGAGAAACAGGAATGGGGGGAGGCGAGATAGGAATGGGGGGAGGAGAATGGAATGAAGGAGAGGAACGACTAGTGAAGGTGGCAATGTGGATGTGTGGTTGGATGCATCATGCATGCAGAGAAGCGCTGTCCCATGTGTCAAACATTATATATGTTCTGCTTGTGTAGGCTACAGTGGGTTAGCCTATAGGGGGTACACAATTCTAGGGTTTCCTACTTGTACTCATTTCACTGCTAGTTCATTCATTCCTGTTCGCTTATTCTCACATGGTATAGAGCGGGTCCTTCTACGGACCGTTTTTTTTGGGCCCACCGAAGCGCCCCCCGAGGCGCGATTTTTTTTAGCGACCCCTCGCTCGTCATTTTCCCTGCGGCCCCGCCGCTTTCACTGACGCGGCCCCGCCGCCCTCTCTGACGGGGCCCCGCCGCCGGCCCTTACGCGGCCCCGTCGCCGGCTCTCACGCGGCCCCGCAGCAGGCTCTGTCGCGGCCCCGCCCCGGCCTTTACGCGGCCCCGCCGCCTGCTCTCACGCGGCCCCACCCCGGCTCCTTCGCGGCCCCGCCGCCTGCTCTCGCGCGGCCCCGCCCCAGCTTCTACGCGGCCCCGCCCCGGCTTTCATGCGGCCCCGCCGACGGCTTTGTCGCGGCCCCGCCCAGGCCCTTACGCGGCCCCGCCGCCTGCTCTCACGCGGCCCCGCCCCGGCTCCTTCGCGGCCCCGCCGCCTGCTCTCGCGCGGCCCCGCCCCGGCTTCTACGCGGCCCCGCCCCGGCTTTCACGCGGCCCCGCCGACGGCTCTGTCGCGGCCCCGCCCAGGCCCTTACGCGGCCCCGCCGCCTGCCCCCGTTGCGGCCCGGTCGCCTCCTGACGGCCCCGCCGTCCCTTCGTGACGGCCCCGCCGTCCCCTCCTGACGGCTCCTGCTGTCCCCTTCTACCGGCCCCGCAACTGCACCTGCTGGCCCCGCCGCTGCACCTACCGGCCCCCACCACCCACCCCCCCTTTTCCCGTCGCCTGTCGAGGCGACCTGAGGGGGGCAGGTGTGTGGCCTCCCCTGCTTCTCCTCCTCCTTCATCGCTCACCTGCAGCAGCCGAGCCGCCCCACCGCCGAGCCGCCCTGCACCCGAGCCGCCCAGCAGCCGAGCCGCCCAGCAGCCGAGCCGCCCTGCCGCCGAGCCGCCGGGTCGCCGAGCTGCTGAGCTGCACTTGCTGCCGAGCCGCCCTGCCGCCGAGCCGCCGAGTCACCGAGCTGCTGAGCTGCAGTTGCTGCCGAACCGCCTTGCCGCCGAGCCGCCCGAGTCGCTCGAGCCGCCGAGCCGCCGAGCTGCCGAGCCGCTGAGTCGCCGAGCCTACTCTTCCCACCACTGGTGAGCTCTTGCCCTGCTAGCACGCTGCGCGTCGCCTGCTTGCCTGCCTGCCTGCCTTTTGGCTTGCCTGGCTGCCTGCCTTCCTGCTGCTAGTCCTGCTCCTGCTTCTACTTGCGGAGCCAGATGCAGCCCCAGCGACGCCAGCGTGAGTCCCTCACGCCCCAGCAGCTGCGTGAGTGGTACGCTGGTTGGGGCTGTAGGGGTGGCGACGCTACTCCTACTTCCACTCCTGCTGCTTCTACTCGTGGTGGCGGCCAGATGCAGCTCCCGCGACCCTCTCGCGTGTCTCTCACGCCTCGCCAGCTTCGTGAGTGGTACGCTCAGAGTGGAGGGTCTCTCAGTGCTGTTCGCTGCTCTTACGTGATTCGCACTGGTACTCGGACTGGTCAGCCTTGTGGGACACGTAGTCATACACAGTCCCGCTGCTTCGCCCGTCTGAGCGACGCCTGGCGTACCGTGTTTGGCGACGAGGCTGAGCTTCCCGACTGGGTGAAGTTGCTTAGGCAGAGGGTAGATATATATGCTCTTGACTATGATGCTATTCTCACTGCCATGTATGCATTGCCTACTAGTGCTGACCGTGCCGGTCACCTGTGCGTCCCGCGTGACCCAGGTATAGGACCTGCTGCTCTAGCTACAGGTGCGGCTGCTGCTCTAGGTGCTCGTGAGTCTGCTTCCTCAGGTGCGGGTGAGACTGCGCTCTCAGGTACCGCGTTGGCTTCGGCCTCCCTCACCTTTACACTTGACTCTGGGGCTTCTCGCTCCTTCTTTCGGGACCGCACCACACTCACGCCGCTTGGTCGGCCGGTTGCTGTCTCCCTGGCTGACCCCTCTGGGGGTCCTGTCCTCGCTCACTTCTCCACTGTCCTCCCGTGTCCGGCTGCCCCCTCGGGCACCCTGTCTGGCCTGTACCTCCCCTCGTTCTCGACGAACTTGGTGAGTGGTGCAGACCTACAGGATGCGGGGGTTCACCAGTTCACTCCTGCGAGTCAGCGGGTGACCCACTGCACGGACGCACGCACAGGCCGGCACCTGGCCACGTTCTCGCGTCGGCCGGGGTCGAGCCTCTACACCCTGACCACTGAGTCTCCTCCTGTCCCCGCGTCCGGTCAGGTAGCAGCGTCGGGTCAGGTGTTTGCTGCTGCGTCCAGGTCTGGTCCTGAGTCTGCCCCCTGTTCGTGTCGCCTCCTGTCTCACGAGACTCTTCTGTGGCACCACCGTCTAGGCCACCCCTCCTTGCCCCGTCTTCGGGGCATGGCTTCCCGTGTCCTTGTCTCTGGTCTTCCTCAGTCTCTCCCTCCCCTTCCTTCGGGACCAGGACCTTCCTGTGTCCCTTGTGTCGAGGGGCGCCTCAGGGCTGCTCCTCACTCCTCCCAGTTTCCCCCGACAGAGGCTCCTCTGCAGACGCTTCACATGGACGTGTGGGGCCCGGCCCCCGTCCGTGGGCAGGGTCACGAGCGCTACTTCCTGTTGGTGGTTGACGACTACTCGCGTTACACCTCAGTCTTCCCCTTGCGCAGCAAGGGTGCTGTCACTGAGGTGCTGATCGACTGGATCCGCGAGGCTCGTCTCCAGCTCAGGAGGAGCTTCGGCTCGGACTTTCCTGTTCTGCGTCTGCACTCTGACCGAGGTGGGGAGTTCTCCTCTCGCCTTCTGCGAGACTACTGTCGTGCACAGGGGATCCGCCAGACCTTTACGCTTCCGGACTCTCCACAGCAAAAT